GCCGTACTGTTTTGGGACCTAACAATGCTAGCAAGGGACCCTCATTTAGAGAACTACCAATGTCCTACTCGCAGGATCAGGGCAAACACTTAAACAGCCCAATGCGGTATGTAGCATCACACTCATACCCTGAACCCCAAGCTCCCCAAATGAATAAAAACAGCACCAAGCGCTAAACCTACCAACCTTAAAACCTGTAGCAACATTATAAGCCTAAGCTAAACCCGTAATATAGGGGGCCTGAAAAATTACCGATACTATTTTGGGGTTTCTTCATTATGATTATAGTCTAATGGGTCCCAAAACCCTATTCTAACTATTAGGGCCCCTATATTGGAGCCCTAGAGCGTGAATCCTTCCGGGATCCCACTCCCCGAAGCCTTAATCTTTAGGGTTTAGGGTTTGGGGAAACCTTCGCTAAAGCTCATCTTTGGCTACTATAAACCCTAAGAAGCAGCTAAAATTATAATTTTTGCTAGGGGTCTAAGTTCAGTATAGAATTCGTTGATCTGAGATCCCCTAATGGCCGGGTCTGTTGGGTGAATCACGAGCACGAAATTCCTGAGACGGCGACAGTAGAATAGATTTTTACCCCGCCAAACCCCGGACAGAACCCTGTAGAGGAGCCCTTAAAAGGAACCCTGATATAAGGGCCTTAATGATCACCTGAACCATTTTGGGGGGTTCCTTATTATACTTATAGCCCCTATATGATTCGAACCCTAAACCTTAAACCCTAAACCCTAAACCCTAAACTAAACCCTAACCCTAAACCCTAAACCCCAACTCTGCCCTTGCATTCGCCGCCGGCAGTCTTGTGAGGTCTCATATCCAAGGAGCTGATAGTGCGACCAGAGGACCTGAGTTCCGGGCCTAGGGATTAGGGTTTAGGGTTTAGGGTTTAGGGTTCAGGGTTTCGGGCCTAGGGATTATAGTTTCGGGTCTAGGGTTTATATTAAATATAGGGGCCTAAACTGGGCCCAAATAGTTGCCTATAGTATTTTGGGGGGCACCTTATTCTAATTCTAGCAAAATCTGCCCCCAAACCCTATGATACTTATTAAGGCCCCTGCATTAGGGTTTTAGGGTCAACGGTTTTTTCCTAAACCCTAAACCCTGAACCCTAAACCCTAAACCCTAATGTGTATGTTGGTGGTAGCAGAGAGGCTTTCAGGCTGGGTCTTGGAGCTTTAGGGCTCAAGGGCGCAGGGAGGTGTAGGGGTGCTTTAGAGCTCAAGGGGTGTAACCTAGGGGCCTCAATGATTAAAATAGGGTTTGGGGTATAGTATACTATAGTTATAATGTGGAACCTGCAAAACCTTATTCTAATTATCAACTCTAATTGTCAAGGCGCCCATAGTAGGGTGCATGGGTGCCTGGGCTTATGCAAACTGCAGATTCGTAGGGAATGAGTCCGGATTTTCAGAGTATGAGGAACCATACCAAAAAGCACTCCAAATGGTAGGATGTTCAGCGCAAGAACTCCTACATGGGTTCACCTTCAGTCATGTAGACGCCTAATGAAGCAAGTGGCAAGAAGAGAGCTCGGCCTGTTTGCTTGGGCTTGAGCTGGCAGGCTGTAAGAATGTGTGGGACTGTTCGATGATGCTCTATGTATTTACAGGCTCGGTTGGTTTCAGTGGTTAAGGGATTCGAAATTTGATGTGTTCCACGGGTCACCGTGATAGACGGGCCGCATCAATCAGTAGTAGGAATTATCCATTACGGTGCCGAAATTAAGCTGGATGTAGTGGTACTAGAAGTTACCGCCGAACTCTGTTGTCAGTATTGAGGCCCTTGTCTTAGGCTGTAGGTCAATTTCTAGAGATGAAGGGGTCTTGGGCAGGACATGGTGTTGAAGCGAGTTCTTTGCACGACCTACAAGAGCAGCTCGTATGCTTTGGCTTGGAAGTTTGTGGTCCTGGGAGCGGGCTTTGGATTCTGGCTCCACGGTTGCCTTTCTCATAGTCGGGTAACATCTTACATTTTCATGGGCGCCTCAACTTACCAAGGAATAAAACTTACAAGGTTAATACTATCCCAGCCATGAACCAGTCACAGGTTTCAGAACCCTAACCCCTAAACCCTAAACCCCTGAACCCCTAAACTAAACCCAAACCCCTAAACCCTTAAACCCTAAACCCTAAACCTTTTTCGACTGTAGGGCTTAGGGTTCGACTTGTCGACTTTCTTACGGCCCGCTACAGGTGAAAACCTGTGCAATGGGAGATCCACGCATGATACCAGGTTTTAGTGCGGGTCTTGGTGAGTGGCGACAAGGCTCCTTTTCATCGGTCGGAGAAAGGGGTTTCCAAAAGCGAGATTCCTCTTCGCAAGTTGTAGAGGAAGACTGCAACAGCATCTTGAAACTACATCAAAAATAGAGTTGAAACCCCATCCTCGTGGCGGGCGGGGTTCGTGGGGGATGACCAATGTTGGGTGCCAGGCGGAGCGGAGCATACAAGAATGTAATATGCAGGGCTTCAGGCTTTTGAGTCTGATGAAGGGTTTAGGGTTTAGGGTTCGGGGTTTAGGGTTTAGGGTTCAGGGGTTGAGGGTTTAGGATTTAAAGGGTTTAGGGTTCAGAGTTGAGGGTTTAGGGTTTAGGGTTCAAAATCTGATGTGGTGGGCCATGTTCAGATGTTGTTTGTTCGGGAACCTGACTGTTGAGACCAAGCAGCCCAAGGACCGCAATGTTGGGTTGCAGTAATCTAGGGGCCTGAATTATAATGATTAAGGCCCCTACATTAGATGCGCCAGTAGTTTGGGAGACTTATTGCTTTGGAGTTGTGGCCGGAATACCTCATGCTTTGTTACCAAAGTTGTCGTCCGACAAGACTCGTATTGTGTTTACCTACAAAGGGCAAAAGCAGCAATTTCTGAGGTACAGTTTGCCTTGCTGATTGGCGTGGCCGAACGGCACAGCCCTCGTCCTTATGTAGACTTGATACTTGGACGTTCGGACTTGGATGTTCGGTCTGGGTAGGCTACTTACTGCGGTGGATTTCCTACACGGTGTTCAAACCATAAGACATGCGCCTATTCATTAACACTCTTCAAGGATTTTCGTTTTATGGTTTGTATATAGGTCCTGCACCCAACCCTAAACCCTAAACCCTGAAACAGAGAGACAGATTCAGACCAACTTGCCCTAAGAAGGGGGCTCTCTTAGCATCGTCCCCGGCGAACCAGCCCGCTTACTAGCGTTTACGAGGTGTAGGATGTTAGGCTTTCTGGTTTTGGGTTCAGGGTTCGCAAATCTCGTAACTCGTTGATGCAGGCAATGATATAGGGTCCTCAACAATTTCCTACATTATTTCGGGGGTTCCTTCTAATATTTATAATCTATACTATAAAGGACCCCCCCAAACCCTACTCTAATTGTTGAGGCCCCAAACCCTAAAGCCTAAACCCTAAACCCTAAACCCTAAACCCTAAACCCTAAACCCTACTCCGGTTTGGGCCTGACAGGCTTCTGCCTGCTTGAAGGTGAGGATTGCCGGTCAGGGCTTATGGGCTTCATCTCGATGATGGCGATTGTGGTTTAGGGTTTAGGGTTTAGGGTTTAGGGTTTAGGGTTTAGGGTTCAGGCTGAAGATTGTGGCCATTCTTGTTATCGCCAGCCTAAATGATTACCCATATATTCTTTAGGGTTTCTCCTAACATCTTTTAGCTATACTACACAAGCTCTCCGCTCCGAAAATCCATTCGAATTGTTCAGGTAGTTGTTCATGGCGCCAATGTTTGTGTTATTGGAGAGGCGATAAGGAAGATTGCTAATCGTATTCCCTCACACTCCCTGCAGAAGGACAGTTTAGGGTTAAGGGTAGTCCCTGCTCAATTATGGTTTAGCAGGACCCAACAACCTGTTCTCATTATGAGGGCACCTATACCATGTCCATTGTGATTGGGGGGGCGATGTTTATGACGACGATGGTGACAATATGACGCTGCTGAGTGGCCTCGTTGCTGACATCTTCGAGAGCTAAACCCTAAACCCTAAACCCTAAACAATCATGTCTTCCTTCTGCTGCATGCAGTCGTTCACCTTGATTTCGATCTTCAAAAATACGACCATCAGACCATCACTAGAGCCACCCCTAAGCCCTAATCCCCGCAGAGCCGAAAGCCCACAACCCTCAGGCCGTCGTCAAGCGCATCAAGCGTGATCTTGTCGATAAGGTCGGGACGTGCTGCTGCGGGAGCTAGTTCAAGACGTGATCAAGGGATTTAGGTTTAGGAACTTGAGTGACTCAAGTGCTCATAAAAGGTTGGGTTTATCCCTAAACCCTAAACCCCCAAACCCTGCTTGACCACTGCTCTGATCTTGCACTGCTTACCCTAAACCCTAAACCCAGCCGCAAAGTCTAACCTTGAGTACCCGAAGCCCCGACCGAAGCAATTGAAGGATGATGAGGACTCAAAGGAGACACGTGCCCCTCGCCCGCATTGGAGACTGGTTCAGGGTTTAGGGTTGTGCCCAGTGAACCCAATACCACCGAATTAAGGAATATACCTTAAATTATAGGAGCCATTTTAGTATTCTGAAAAAACCTTAATTCAGGGGTATTGAGCTCTCTAGGTAGGCTTTGGAGATTGGGTTTTGACTTTGACTCTGGGTCAGGTCAGTTAATCACCCGTTGGCATGAACTTACTTCTTAATGCTGGTACGTAGTGGTACTGCAATGGTACAATAAGCAGTCCAAACAGTATTGCAAATACCAGAATGATAATGAAGAGTCATTGGTGAATTCACTAATGTGGCTGAGCCTCCAGGGCCCTAAGTGCATCAAGCCCTCTTCTCTTCCCGTAAGTCGGCTGGTCAGTTAGCCTTTGAGCCTTCAGTGGCTCCGGCCATCATCCAACTCGTCTCCAAACCACCCTCTCGTAGGGTTTGAAGTTTTAGTGATGGTTTATCAGGATTTACGAGGGCTTCATAGGGTCCTCTTAGAGTATGCATAACGTCGGCTTGTGGTGTCGAGGAGACGTCTGTGCGCGAGATGCTGCATGAGATGCACATTTTGACTGCGATCAGCCACCCCTGCTTGGTGAACCTGTTGGGAGCGAATCTGGATAGGCGGGGCGCCTTGGGCAACCGTCCCCAATTTACGGTATAGGATCACGGCACCGGATGTCGGGTTCAAGGCAATGAAGTTTCGTGTTCAGGTTTGCCCGCCTCGGAAGAAAGCTCTATACTATATACAGTATTCGCTTTCTCGCCTTGCTTCGGGCTTTGTGTTCAACCACTCTCGAGAGGAAATACGAAGCCTTGTAGCTTTTGGGGTTCAAGTTTCGCGAATTCCCGCAGCCGGGGGAGGTTTCGGTGGACCCTAAACCCTAAGCCCTATAACCCTAAACCCTATAACTCTAACCCCTAATCCTATAGAATTATGCGAGTAACACACTTTTCGTAAGTGAGGGAACTTGGAAACTGCGCAGCTCTGCGGACTGCCCAGCTTTAGACTTGAAAGGCCTTCAACACAACAAAGCCTAACAAAGCCTATACTTTCGTAATTTAAACGCTAAAACAGCCTATGTTTCTCTATAAATTATTTAGGATTTAGGCTTTGGGGGTTTATAAAGGGTTCAGGCGTTTAGGGGTTTAGGGGGCTACCAAGTCTACTTTCGTAATTTAAAAGCTAAAAGACCCCATGTTTCTCTATTTTGGATTTTGGCTCTGGGGGTTTAGGGGTTCAGGCGTTTAGGGTTTACGGGGTCGGGTACTCCGAAGTCCGAAGATCGCGTTTTCATCAAGCTCCCTGTAGTCGGAAGAGCTTCACGCCCCACCCACCCCACGGCCGCCCACCTCAAGACACAACAACAGGGACTTGAATAGTCGACACTGGGGTTGTAGAGTCATACCCTTTTCTGGAATACGTAGTTTCATGGTTAGGATCTGTTTGTTTCGAAAGTAGGTACCCTAGCAAAGGGTAGGGTATCACCCTATAGGTAGGGCTTAGGGTTTGGTTCAGGGTAGAGGAACCTATCTATTTACCCTAAGCCCTACCTTTTATCTTCATTGTAGTTCCATTTTGGGGATGCCTTATAAGATCCTTAGTCTATAATTTCCCTATCCCCTAAGCCCTAAACCCTAA